GAGATCTATTTGCGCCAGAGGATTAGAAGAAAAAAATAAGATCAAAATCGAGGAAATCTGATAAGAAATATAATTAAAAAAATATTTCAAAGTCAGCAAAGCAGAGTCTCTTGATCCGCAGCAAGTCGAAAAGAAAGGGGGCAGATAAGCTGAGGGGGGCAAAGGGGGGCTCAGGCAGAGAGTGACACTCTGCCTAATTGTAATTAAAAAAATTCAATATTAGCAAAACAGAGCCTCTTAACCCGCAACAAGTCGGAAAGAAAGGGGGGCAGATAAGCTGAGGGGGGCAAAGGGGGCTCATGCAGAGGGTGACACTCTGCCTAATTGTAATTAAAAAAATTCAATATTAGCAAAACAGAGCCTCTTAACCCGCAACAAGTCGGAAAGAAAGGGGGGCAGATAAGCTGAGGGGGGCAAAGGGGGGCTCAGGCAGAGGATGACACTCCGTCTAATTGTAATTTAAAAAATTCAATGTGAGCAAAGCAGAGCCTCTTAACCCGCAACAAGTCGTAAAAAAAGAGGGGGCAGATAAGCTGAGGGGGCAAAGGGGGGCTCAGGCAGAGGATGACACTCCGTCTAATTGTAATTTAAAAAATTCAGTGTGAGCAAAGCAGAGCCTCTTAACCCGCAACAAGTCGGAAAGAAAAGGGGGGGGGCAGATAAGCTGAGGGGGGCAAAGGGGGCTCAGGCAGAGGATGACACTCCGTCTAATTGTAATTTAAAAATTCAGTGTGAGCAAAGCAGAGCCTCTTAACCCGCAACAAGTCGGACAGAAAAGGGGGTTGGCAGATAAGCTGAGGGGGGCAAAGGGGGGCTCAGGCAGAGGATGACACTCCGTCTAATTGTAATTTAAAAAATTCAGTGTGAGCAAAGCAGAGCCTCTTAACCCGCAACAAGTCGGACAGAAAAGGGGGTTGGCAGACAAGCTGAGGGGGGCAAAGGGGGGCTCAGGCAGAGGGTGGCACTGCGTCTCTCGTCTCTCGCGCTTTTCGTTGCAACATCGCGGAAACTATCGGTCACCCGTAGCGGGCCTGTAATCTCGGGGGGCCCGTAACCGCTCCTCGCGGCCGCGGCGACAAAAAACCGGCAGAGAATGAAATACGGATTACAGTGGTTGGCCGGCACCGGATAATGGCGGATAATGATGACCTCGGCCCCGGTGCTACCACCCGCCCGTCCGCCCTCGCGTCGGAAGATCACATATTTTCCCCTTTTCTCTTCTCTCCCTTTCCTGCCCCTCCTCGCCCCCGTCACGCTTGCCCATTTATGCGCTTTATCGCGTATCGGGATTTCCATACAAAGTTGCGCACGAGAGTTGCGTTTCTCACGCGCTTCTCGTCCGTCGTTGCGCTCTCGAGAGTGCATCGACCTGCATTCGACATTAAAAAGAGGAAAAGCGAGAAATTTCCACAGAGTTTATTCTGAAAACCTTGTACGAGATCCGTGTTATATCTATAATTTGGAACACAATTGTATTTGTTATATCTCATGAAAAAGTCCTCTCTGGATCCATAATTTATCACCTCAAGAAAAAAATTTAAAACGGAATTATATTTTTATAATTTTTAAAATTACGTGCCACATCGTCCTATTATATGTACCCAGATATTTTGCATTTACATATATATATTTTTTATTTTATACTTCTTTAAATATTTTATATATTTATATTACACATAAAATCATAAATAGAGAATTTCTTCTTGAATTTTGTTATTATATAAATCATTTATTTAGGGCTTTTAATGTAAAACAAAAAAATTAAAGAATACATATGCATACGAAATTCATATTAGAATTTTTATGCATATATTTTAGAATTTATATATCTTGCATAAGATTTTTTTAGTTAAGATTATGCTCGAGAGTACTCAACCTACATTTGACATTGAAAAGAAGAAAAGCGAGAAATTTCCGCGCAGATCATAATTCGAAACAGAATTTGTCATTGTATGCTGGATATTATACATGTCGCTGGATCTATAACTTATAACAAAAAAAAATTCAATACATAATTATATTTATAATTTGAATATAATTCTGTCGTATATAATAATTCACATTTATAATTTTGTGCCGCATTATTCTAATATATATATCTATGTCCAGGTACTTCATGTTATATAAGTGTATCTTATTATATACTTCTTAAAATGTTTTCTTTATTACACATAGAGAATTCTATCTTGAATTTTGTCATCATATGAATCATCTATTTAAGGCTTTTAATATATAAAAAATTTTTAAAAATAATACACATATACGAAATTCATATTAGAATTTACATATATGTATATATTAAAAATTTCTTACATTAGAATTCATATACTACGTGTATATATATATATATATATATATATATATATTATAATTTCTAAAGTATATACATATATATATATATACATACATATAAATTTTAATATAAAATATTAAATAAAAAAAAAATATATATATATATATATTTTTTTTTTAATATTTTATATTAAAATTTATATGATATATATATATATATATACTTTAGAAATTATAATATACTAGAATTTATATTTAAGAAAATATTTTTTTAAGAATTTACATATTTGGTGCACAAAAAAATGATAAATACTGTTGCGAAACGTCAAAATTTCGATCTATATTCACCGTATCAGATCTCAATAATGGAATGATGAAACGATATATCAACAGAGCGGAATCTTGTTGAGCAATCTTGCGACGGTTTCTAGTCAACTGAAATATCAAAGCAGTGAGCGCCTTCAAGGCTACAATAAGTTTTGTTTCGCAAAATGACACTTATGGCCGACGCTTCGATTAATGCACCTTCGAGAGTGTGCTTACATGTATGTATATATGTATATGCAACCAGGTATCGGCCTCGTTGCAGCCCGAGCAACGGCCGACGTCAATTCAACCCGGTGAAATAAATCAGGCATCGATTGCGAGAGCGGATCCCGATTCGCAGGTGGAATTAATGCGCGGAGATTTCCGATATATCGAGACCGCGAGAATAAATCAGCTGCTATATATGGGAGAACGCGCGCGAAAGTGTGAAGGACCGAAGATGCAGCTGGAAAATCGAGTAAATCGATCCACGCGTAAAATACATTACATGCTATATATCTGTGCAAATTTGACTAGTATTATATATACTCACTGCTGCAATATTACATTTGAAATATTACATCTTTCAGCAATATTGCAGAAACATTTCACGACCATTTCCGCAATATTTCAGCAATGTTTCAATGTCCGCAATTATTTCAAATGTAAACTTGTTAAAAGATTTCTGCAATATTTCAATGTCCGCAATTATTCCAAATGTAAACTTGTTGAAAGATTTCTGCAATATTTCAGCAACATTTCAATGTCCGCAATTATTCCAAATGTAAATTTGTTGAAGGATTTCTGCAATATTTCAGTAACGTTTCTGAAATCTTTCTGAAACATATCTGCTTAATATTGCGGTCACATATATTTAATATTGCAAAAACATATCTATTTAATATTACAGAAACATTTAATTACAATCAGAAATATTTCGAGCGGCCTACACGGTTCCTGCTGGGGTGAGTTTATTCACGAAGTGAAAATTACAAAAGTGATGAGCATATTTTATTAGATTTCGATAAATGAAATCATACATACTCTAGTAAATTCACTTTTGTCATTTTTACCACCGACGACGTTTTTATCGATAATGTGTTTACCTTGTAAACAAATTTTAATTCACTTAAGAACCGTCTGTATAATACAGACTCCCATTAGGTATATTTCATCTAAGGAAAATTGAAATGAAACAAAAGTAATAAAATCTTATAACATATATTCTAACAAAGTAAATATGAAACTTATAATAGTTAGATATATTTATTTATACTTAATAAAAATGAAACTTTATAAAAGATAAAAAAATAAAGAAAGGCCAACTTAAACGAGCTAATATTAATTCGATCAAGATGTCAAATAAAAATTTATTATTACAAAAAGAACCACATAAAACGAGTTATTACAACAAGTTATGAAACTTTATAATAGTTAGGTATACTTATTTATATACTTTAATAAACATGAAACTTTATAATAATAGTTAGATATACTTACTGATATCAGGAGAGCGGCCACCGGGATTTAATGGCCGCGTGTACTAATGCGTCCCCTGAGAAAATGGACATAAACTACGTCGTGACATTCGGTAAAAAGCACGGTAAATGGTTTGATTCCGTGATATGGTTCATGTCCGAACTTTCAGATAAAAACCAAGTTTAGTCAAACATTTTATACCTTTTATTTTCTATCTATGTTTACATCTCTTTTAAATGTAATTGTTAAAATTAATTAAACAAAATTCCAATTACCACATTTCGCAGTATTTCTATATATATGTCTTTTAAAAATATTAATAATAAGCGCAGAATTATATTGTACAATTTTAAAGTTATGTAATGAAATTTTATAAATATTAATATTAAGATTAATATTTTATTTAAAAAACTTTATTCAAATTAAAATGTGGATTACGCAAGAAAGAGAGAGGGGGGGGGAACAGAAGAAGAGAGAAAGAGAAATTGTGTTATGTAATTTATTGTAAACTAAAAAATGAAAATCAATCACAATTTTTATATAATAACATATTAAATGTTTAAAATATCTAAATATTGAACATATATAGCACATATAATTAAAATTCGTTTCTATATAACGTTAAACATATTATTAATTCTTATTGTTGTACAAACATATATTTTATGTATACATACATTTATAAATATTATAATGTATTAATTATATATTTAATATATAATATGAACTGTAATATAATATAATACACGTATAAATAATATTACTATTTTATATACACACACATACACACATACTGACGCATACATAATTTACATATATATAATTTAAATAATAAAAAATTTAATAGTTCGTATATATATAAATATGTTGGCTATAAATGTTTATAATAGTTAAATAATAATTCAATATGTATGTGTGTGCGTTATATTATATCGAATAGTAATATTTATTATAATATTATATGGCTACTTTTTTGTGACTACACAGGTAATAATATATTATATATTTCAACTACTTCAAGCAAGATCGCAAAAGAAAAATGTAAAACTTGATGCATGCAGTCATAAAGTAAAGACGGCGGCATCGAATATAAAAACATCTAAATAAACAATAATTAAAGCAGTAAAATAAATAGTATATACAATATAAAAAATTCATATGAAGTATGTCCACGTATGCAAAGCTGCAATTTTTTTTACATCCACACATTAGACGAATAAACTTTCAAAATACTGTCTCTGCCTTGTGATTTGACGAATGCGATATATTATTTTGCTTTCAATTTTGTTATAATGCCCTATTATGGAATCCTAATATATATAAACAAAAATTTGCACAATGGAATCAATATACTGTTTATATAATAAACAAAACAAATATAAAATTAATATTCAAAAATTAATAAGAGAGATAGAACAATATTTCTTTTTCTTTTGTTTTCCATAATAATATTTATGAAATTTACCTTTTCTTTCATCCCAACATATAAGTCTTTATTGACCACCAAAGATGTAACGTATTCGTGTATTGTCTAGAATGGATTATTTTTACCATTATTAATAGACAACGTTATTATTACATTATTTAAATTATTTAAACATTATATAATATTTATTAATATCGCATTATTATCACATTTTGTATACATACATAAATAAACATGTAAAATTTTTACCTCAGCTAGATATTCGCGATATACATTATTAATCATAATAAGTAATGTTGCAATTACACCAACATGTCTAAAAACGAAAAAAAACAAATGCATATATAAAACACATAATAAATTTTTATACAAAATATTTATAAAAATATGTCAAATTACTTTGGTTTTATGTTAAAAAAATCGTCTAATATGTACTGCAAGATATCTCCATTCTTCGCATGCTTCGTAATAATATGTAAGAAATTGGTAACAAGATATTGGATTTCTCGTTTTCTAATAGATTTTATTCTTAAATAATCTTTAATTATATCATTATCTTTAGGGCAAGTCAAGTATTCTAAAAATTTAGGGTCAAATTTTTCACATCCTATGTCATACACTAATTCCCAAGACTCTTTGTTGGTAGTTATCGTCAAACCGTTACAATATGTCCATTCCTTCCACCATGGCAAAAGTCTAAAACATAACAAAATTAAATTTTTTATTAAAGATTAGCATATGTATCTCTTGATCAAATCATTTGAACATTGTGGGCTATACCTACTAGAGAATTTGATTTAGAAAGGCTAAAAAAATATGTATAACAATATTTACTTGTGTTTTGTAGGATCTTGGAGATGTTGTTCTAATTTATTGTTGGCTTTGCTCTTACAGGTTATGCTACCGAGAAAACATGCCCATCTTGCAGCTTCTTGTCGTAAACATACTCTAAATTCGTCTGCATCATCAATTTCTTCATATTTGATTCTTTCAAGTACCGTGTATAATGCGTGCCTTATTCTAAACTAAAAATTGTTAAATATATATTTATTTGTTTATATTATAAATGTATTTAAAAATTAATTATTATATTTTCTCATTATTTTTCAATAGATTCTTAAAATTTTCTCTATGAACTAAACATACATACAAATTCACTTATAGACGCTAACGTTTATCTATACACGTACATATGCACGTGCAAATATATATATGTATTATATCTGTACGCAAAAATATGGTTTAATTTGTGCGAAATGTTTTATAATATTTAATAGATATTAAAGTTTCATAACTATTTATTAATTATATTTTATTTTTAAATAAGGTATAAAATATTACTTTTTGAAATATATAATTAAATTTTTCCAACTATAAATATATGTTTAATTTTTTTTTTAATTACAACAAGTAATATTAATATAAAACCAATATAATTGCATTCATTGACAAAAATGTTAAGCACCCAGCTATATATCCAACAACAATGTTATATACCAATAATATTGGCAGTAGTGAAAATCATAAACTTTTTGACAGTTCTTCGGGTGAGTGATTATTTGAACTGAATTTGTTTGCACATTTGTTTGTGACGTAATAGTATGTAAAATTTTATTATTGCTGAATATATTTTTCTAAGTATTTAAATTATTTGTGATCAATGAGTGTATATGCAAATATTTAAAATGTAATAATTTCATTGAAATTTATTAATATTTACAGTAATATTTCCATTCAATTCTCTCCATGGAAAAGTACCATACATGTATTCTAAAGCTTTAAACATAGGATACCATGCTATATAATCTTCTTCTCGTTGCAAATACTCTATGAGATTCCAAAATATATGGGATTGGAGTTGGCCTGCTATCATTAAATGAAATGAATCATCGATAATTTGAGCACGATTAAGAACATGAATTTTCGTGTAATTATCAGATTTTAGGTAACTTGAAATTCTTTGCCAATTTTCATCATCATAGTTAACCCAATAATATCCTGTCGAACAGTAAATAAATTTTAACAATTTTTATTATTAATAAGAATATTTGTAAGTCAGCTCTCCAATTGTTTTAAAAACTCCATATTCATCTCGACTAAGAGCCAAACGCGATGTTATTGCGACAAATTAAGATAAGAAAATTTTTGGAAACTGAGTTCTCGGGTTCGATTCCCGATTCAGCCGACTTTCGGACCAATATTTTTCTCGTCTTTTTCTTACAGGGGATGTTTAGAGAAGGAACAAGGGAATTTCTGAGATCCCAACCATAGGATTCAAATTCCTCAGTTTCCAAAAATTTTCTTATCTTAATTTGTCGCAATAACATCGCGTTTGGCTCTTAGTCGAGATAAATATGGAATTTTTATTATTTTTAATAATTTTATAATTAATATACTAATTTTCAAACATTTGTGTTTAATATTTTTTATAAATTTGAAGTATAAGACAGGCGATAAGAGCCGATTGCGGAAGACAATGCGTTATCCCAACGAAACTAAATTTTTTCGTTAGAATTAAATATCTGTGCACAAGGCACCAAATTTTACTTGGTCACTGCCAAGATTTTAAAATATGAAATAATCTTCATATTTTAAAATCGTGACAGTGACCAAGTAAAATTTGGTGCCTTGTGCACAGATATTTAATTCTAACGAAAAATTTAGTTTTGTTTGAATAACGCACTGTCTTCCGCGATCGGCTCTTATCGCCTGTCTTATACTTTAAATTTAATATTTCTGTTTATATAAATTATAAATTAAAAACGTATAAAATTTAATAAAATGCAAATATATATATAAATGTGAATACATATAGAAAATTAATTATAAATTAAAAATGAAACTGTGCAAGATATTGTTTAGCATAAAATAAAATTGATTCTAGTTGTGCATAAATAATAATTATTTTATGCTAATCAATATAATTTTTATAACACGTAACAGTACGAAAAATGTATGTTACCTGCACTTATTATTATTATTAATTTTATAAATATATAATTATCCTTTTAATAATTTTTACTATTATTAGAATAAAATATTTGTAAAAGAAACTATTACAGTTATATAATAAATATCTCAGGTTTTTATAAGACAATAAATAAAATAAATGAAAATATAAAATTATGTCAATTATATGTGTGTAAAATAAAGGCGAAAAATAATAGTCATAATAAGTCCATTTGTCGATATTTACCAACTTGTTGTATATTGAACATCATCCAACCATCCTCTTTAAATGGTAATGTTATTAAATACTCTGACACGGGTAGAAAATGATAAGTTAAATTGTCAAAATCGGGAGATGCTTCCGTAGTAAAAGTTAGAGGGATGTTGCGATTTTCTAATGTGTCGATATATTTAATATTTATTTTCATTTGGCTCACAGAATTATTATAATATCGTACTACTTCAATGAGAGGACAATACTTTTTCGCTTTTTCCCAATTTTCCATTTCTGTTATGTATGGTGGCATATCTGGATTTCTTTTTGAAGCAAAATCTGGCATAAAATCCGCGAAGCTTAAACGTTGCGAGCGCCTAAATTCACAAAGTATGTAAAATATATAAAAATATGTTAAAATTTTTTGTCTGTATAATGTTAATATTATAAAAAAATTTAATAAATACTAAGAAGTAAAATATAAATTGCGCACTTCTATTTATATAATTATATATCTTATATCTACAATATATTCTGACAAGAAAAGAGATAATATAATTTTAAATCAAATTTATAAATTTTATTTAATTTTTTATGCATTATTAGCATTAATACAGATTATATTTCAGCAAAGTATTGACAAAGTACAAAATGATTAAAAAAAGAAATCAAACAAATAAGAAGTTGAAGACAAATGTTACATGTTTAAGAATCTGTTAAATAAATTTAGAAAACAAATGTAGCACAGAATGCAATTAAAAAAACACAGATATAAGAATTATAGACGATATGAAGAGATGAAGGAAATAACAAAATTAAAAAAAATAATTTTAAAAATTATTTTAAAATAAAACAAATTATGAAACAAAAATAAAACAACAATGGATATGTATATGAAAAAGTGATAACGATAAAATAACAATTTCTTTCTACAGAAACTGTTTTAATAGAAAAAGTAATGAAATTAAAAATAATTTTAGTAGAAGATTTAGAAAAATAACGGAATTGTAACGCTAACAATAAAAAAAAAACACTATGAAATAATGTCAGAAAAACGAAAAAAATAAGAGACATTATATAAAACTTTTATTGTTATACGTTATTTACGTTCTACGGCCCGTGAAACAGGTACCAAAATGTTTTTTTATCTTTTATTATTAATAATTTTATTTTTTGCTGATGTTCCCACCGCTGACCCGCTATTAATAGCTCTCATACATTTTTATAATTTTTTCAATTAATAAAACCTCTCTGTATACAACATTTCTCATAAAATATTTTAGTTTACTTAATTATTTGTCCTTGATTGCTTAATTCATTAATTTTTATTCTGATACTATCCCTTTCTGTTGCTCTAGAGAATGCTACATATAGTTGACTATGGGCAAATACGAGTTGTGGCAAATAAATTCCAACTCTTTGTAAAGTTTGTCTCGAAATTTTGGTACTAATTTCGAGAAAATCGGTCTACAAATTTGTTGGTGCGTAGGTGGGTAAATAAGGTGATAAAAAGTTTGAAAAATTATATAGTAGCCATCTCCGATAAAATTTGAGTGCACATTTCGAAAAAGTCGATGCATTAATGTGTGAATGCGTGAAGTTTTCGAAATTAAATCTCAAGTAAAAGATTATTATTTCAATTTTTAAAAAGTCTTGGTTGGTACACCGAGAATAATATGTGTCTTGCGCACGCTTTGTTTCCAACAAAATTTAATTTCGTTGTAAATGTACGTAGAAAACATCCGCGTATGGCTCTTTAAGCCTTCCTTATGATTTAGATTTTTATTTTGGTACCGATTTCAAAAAAATCGGTTCATAAATATGCGATTGTGTGGGTGGGTGCGTGGGTGAAAAATCACTATCGTCACACTCCCCGGAAAATTTATGAAATTTTGGTACCATTGGTGAAAATCGGTCCACAAATGCGGAAGTAATTCGCGTTCAGACACACAGACGGTACTTATACTATATAGATAGATTATATTACTCACTTATTGTTATATACATACTTGTTTATGAATGTCTCAAATATTTCTTCTGTGATGAAGGGTAGCAACATGCGCAGTATAAAAGGTGCTACAATTTACATTAAAATTATGAATTAGATATATTATAAATACATTCACCATAATAGGCGTGTGCATGTGCGTGTGCGGGGGCCCGCGTATAAGTGTACTTTTATCAAAATAATATTTAATTAAAATTCAGATAAAGGATTAATTATCTTCTAATTTTACACATATTTTAAAATATTAGGAGTTAAAAATTTACACGGACTATTTTATTATTGTATATTACGTATACCTCTGATAGAATTGAGAATTTCCAATGAACTGTTAGCTTGTGAAGTAGAATTCAACATATAATAATAACTATCAAAATTAAAAGAGTAATGTTGATTTTGAACAACAAATAAATTTATTATTCGATCATCTTCATAAATCTATAACAAAATAGTAAATATATAGATATAACCGTTCTGATTATACTAGCATTAAATGCAAATACTAATATTATTATCGTTACCTCATTGTTAGAACAAAACACTTTCTCATTTTAAAAAACACATATTAAAAAATTATAATAATAAAATCAAAAATTTTGTATTAAAATAATTAGAAAACATTACATAATTTTTAAATTATATTGTCTCATATGATATTATATTGCAGACTGCTCTTTATCAACTTTATTAAAATAAATATGATGTGTACTAGTTTTTGATTAATTTATCTTATTTGCATAAAATTTAAAAATATGTAATAAAGTGGCGTTAAAATAAAAATGTTTAATAAATTATAATTATATATGTATGTAAAGATGTGAAAAAAGTATTTTTTAAGAAACAGTTTACTATATTAATTATATTAAATTATCTTAGATAATACTAAATGTTTTCAAGACAATTCACAAAAAATGCATATAGGTTTTGTAAAAAGGGTTTGATTAAAGAAAGTCTTGCAATATATGAATGTTTAAGTATTGTATTATGTTGTTTGTGAGAAAATGGAAACAAGATATAGAGTTAAACATATTTAGAATAATGTACCTTACTGACAGCATACGTTGCAAGCAATGGAATAAGACCTTTCTTAAACCAAAAATCCGACACTAACGGATCGTTCAACATGTTATTAAACCATTCCTGTGTCACTTTACGTCCTACTAATTGAGCTACTTTGATTTTCTGAGCAATAGGATATAAATTTCCATCGTAGATGATATCTGTTTCACTGAAAGTATAATATATAAAAAATAAGACTCCGAAATTTTATAGAAAATAAAACTGTATTATTGTTACAATAACTTTATTTAATTGTTATACGATTTACAAACTCATGAGTACAATTTAGCAAATCAATATAAATCGTACCAAATACTTTCTTTATTTTTTAATTTACAATATGTAGCAACAATAAATTTCTGTTAATGTGTATATCGTTGACGAAGAACAATAATTTGAAATAAATAAAAAAATGTCAATTCTTTTATAGCTTTATTGCGGTTTTAACACTTATCTTAGGGAGTATGATATGATGTACGTATTAAAACGGTATACTTTAACTTGGTAATCATACGAATAAACTTAATTCAAGTAAAGTTGTTTTCGCATTCCTTATACTTTCGAACGTTTACAAAAACAAAAGATATACATGTTTTTATATTTTATAATTTTGTATACTAATATACTTTTATTTTTAATGTAATTTTAAGCACTTGTACTCACTTATAAAATACAATTCCGAAATCTATTATGCCATTGTCATGGAAATTTGGAATCACAACATGAGTCACCTTCAGAATTTGCTCCGAACGTAAATTCCATTCAATTTTAAACAACAACGTGATACTTTCAGCAAAATTACTTGCAAATCTCATGTGAGATCCATATTCGTTACTGCACCACATTTCAATATTTCGATTGTCGACATCAATACGTAATAAGTAATTAGACACAATCATTGTTGCAAGATAACACGATATTGCAGATGTGGTAGCGAAGTATGTCCATAACATTTTGGACTCATTTTCTTCCGTTTGTCGCAATGGTATATTTGACAAAGCCGTACATTGATTACATCCTATAGATATGTTAAAGGTTGTCTCGAACAATACATTCTGTTGATCTCAACATGAAGACAATCGAGTGCATATTACATTGAAATGAATGCCAGTTAACAGATTATAAATTTTAAAGAATATAAATTGATAAAACATTTCTAGCAAGCATAAAAATATTGGAATTGAAAAACGTATAAATGTAATATGTAATAATATGTACTAAAAATAAAGATTAATTGTCTTTATATTTAAATTCAATAATGTATAATAATTTTTGAAACATTTCATACATAAATAATATATATTAATTGCAATGTTTCATGTAATTGCACATTGTACTTTTTTAATAAACATATTCTATTTACTTACGCAATTTTTCCTTTCGTGTCAAAAATTCTAAATATTTCATCAGCAATACCATGATATTTTATATTTAAAGTGTAATTTCCCGGTGATAACTCATCCAAAAAAGAAACATGAATTATGTTTTTATCAATATTATAAGTTGAGTTATAAACAATATCATTATCATTCTCATAATATTTTTTTATATTTGAAAATAAAATTATATTTATAATACATAGATTTTCTGAATGTAAAAATACGTCTTGCGTTTTGTTAAAAATGCTTATGCTGATATTGTATTCTCCATGTAAAATATGTCCTTCAATATATGATATAAGCTTGATATCGTAATGGATTGGTTTTATATATTTTGATGGTTGACAGCATAAAGATGATTCATTACGAATAGAAGCCGTCGCAGCAATAAACATTAATCCGCTATTTAATAATAGTTTTAGAAATATCATCATGTCGGAACAGGAATATATATTTTAGATCTGTAAAGCACATTGTGTAAACAAAAGATAAATAGAGAAATTAAATATAGTTTTGATGACTTTTTTAAATCACTGGACGACACAAGAGCGCGCTTTGCGCGCGCTTTTGATATTATTTTCTATGATTTATTTTACAATTGTCATATTGTTAATTTTCGCGATGAGAGTTGCCTAATGTTATGAAAATGATCATAATTTTAATTCGCCGAATTTGGCAACTATTTTGTACATATATATACATACTATATCGTATTTCTATATACTTCTTATTTCGGTTAATTTAATCGAATATAATTACGTGCGCGAAACAAAATTATATTATTAGTTGATAATAAAATTTCAAAAAATGTAACGCAATACAATTATTACTGTTATGCAAGCATAGAAATATATTTATAAATTACATGATTCATACAAATTCAATATATGAATTTTTAACAGAAAACGAAAAATATAATTTTCTACAATCTTTTGATCAAAATATCGAGTCTGTACGCGTCCACTACGCTACACGGCTCACACGAAACTGATTATTTGATTAGATTAGTATATTCGATACGTCTTTTCAGGTGAGCAATTCGGACGAGACTGATTTTCATGCGGGATATCGCGAGCGCGGGACCGATAGTCCTATCACATGCAGTCATGTGGTCGATGAGTGGTCACGCGCGAAAAACAGTCTCGTGCGAGCCGCGCAGCGTGATGAACATGTGAGATATGAAATCTCGCACGAGTCTAATGAAAGCGTACATATGTATATATTTTATCACAAAAGAATCTTGTAAAAAATTGTATTTCTTTGTTCGTATTTTCTGTTAAAGATTTAAATGAATTGTTATGCATTGCATAATTAATTAATATATATATTTTATTTTTGCATGCACGTGTCGCAAATTTTGAGATTTTATTATCAAAGAATAATATAACTTTTCTTTGCGTGCGTAATTATATTTGGTTAGATTAAACGAAATGATATATATTAATGCTACATAAATTTAGTATATATAAGCAGATTTGTTAATACAATAAGAAGTTACAAGTGAAAGTAATTGTGTCAACTCATAAATCAAATTCGGTTTTGTTATCAAGTTTAATTATGATAGCATATTATTATTAGTATAGTAAACTGTACAATACTGTTAGTAGAATATTAATACAAATGTGAAAAAAACAACATCAAAAATTTTTATTAAATATAATGAATCTATAAATAATGTTATAGTATATTATATTAAACAGTTATATTTTAATTTTATATTTTATTACATATTTTATATTTTAATTTTAATTCGAGATGTTTATTATGTACATAATTTTAATTCGCTGAATTTTAATTATGTATATAATCTTACTTTCTGATTTCTTGTTATGTATCAGATATCAGACAATACAAACGTGCGCGAAGCGCGCGTTATTGATATTATTTTTATTTTTTAATTTTCAACTGTCAAAATATTAATTTTGACGATGGCAGTTGTTTGATGCTATTAATATAACGCGCAATGTTAATCGAGACAACCAATCAGTACCGCAGAAAAGCAGCAACAATATTTGCGATAATTGATTTTGCATGCCTTTTTTAAAAAAGGATTTTTGTATATAAACAAGAAAATAAATATAAAAAGTATTAAAAGTAATAATTAAAGAAACATTATACTTAATGAAATATTATATGGTAAGGAAGCAAAGTGCAAATTTTCATTTGCACAATTTCTTCTTTTAATGCATTATATATATATATATATATATATATATATATATATATATATAGTAAAAGTAATTGTGTCAACTCATAATCAAATTCGGTTTTGTTATCAAGTTTAATTATGATAGCATATTATTATTAGTATAATATTAAGAGTTTAACTAGGCTCTGTAATATAAATATAATTTAACATATATAAGACAGGCAATAAGAGCCAAATCGCGGATGACAGTGCGTTATCCTAAACGAAACTAAATTTTTTCGTTAGAATTAAATACCTGTGCACAAGGCACCAAATTTTACTTGGACACGGCCAAGATATAAAATTGGAATAATCTCTACAAGAGATTTTTAATTCCATGTATCCCCTATTCCCCCTAAAGAAATAAATGCGAGAGAAAAATATAGATCCGAAAGTCGCAGAATCGGGAATCGATTCTCGGGTTCTTATATATGTTAAATTTTTATATATATATATATATATATACATATATGTATGTATGTATGTATGTATTTCAATGTTGCATATATTGTAATTGACAGCAATATACAAAAATTAAATTGACAAAAATTATTTTTCTCCCGACTGCTGCCAACCGTAGGTTGGCGAAAAGAGAGGAAGTATGCGTTTCATCGAGCCCGGATCGGTCGTGACCTTAATTCTCGATAACTACTGCATAGTTTTATATCAACTTTGGAACATAAGTTTCTTATTAATCAAGGAAGGTTTAAAGCGTATTATTATCGTTATTTATTCTATTAATAAAAAGTGAAAAATGAGTATTATTTCGTCAATACGGTCTCTCATTGGCTGCTGTGTGAACCTAAGAGGAAAAATGATTCACCAATGAGATTCGTTGTAGTATCCGGATAGGGAATGTTGGTGACATTGGTATATACATCTCGAAGTAATAATGACGGGACTGATAGGATAGGTTAGCTGTCACCTGTTGCGTGTTATTGTCAACAACAATATTAAGTGAAGTGTATTATTATGGATATATCTCAAGAAGATATAAATAAAGGAGTAAGTTTCTTCTTTTATATTTATTGTTTTTTTCTTTATTTAGAATATTGTTATTATTATTTATTTATTGTTTCTTTATTTATATGTAGGAAGAAGATACTCGCTTGAAGATATCTGAAGAAGAAAACATTATTAATAATAGAAAACGAGTAAGTCTTGTTATTAATAATTAATAAAAATATATAATATAATTAATAATATAATTAATCTGTTGTAGTCATAACATGGCTATATGAATTTATATTTGTCTGCGTAGCCACTTATTTGCTATTAAATTTGCTACGTAGCCACATTGCTATAAATATCCACATATATAATTGTATAAATGTATATAGTTATTTTTTCTCTTATTTGTATATTATATAATAATTATATAATTAATTAAAAATATGTATACAAATATATTTATAGTTATACAAAGATATTAGCGCACCAATAATTATGGCAATGCAGACAAATATATTAACTTACATAGCCAATTATCTACTACAAAAGATTATTCACATATGTAATAATAATTAAGGCTATACAAATATATAAACTTACTTGTGATTACATAATGTATAAACTTATATAGCCATAAGAAAGTTAATATATTTGTCAAAGCCATAATTATAACTGCGTACAAGTTTATGTATTTGATATAAGATATTGTTGTCATCTGTCTTTGTCATCTGTCTCTCTCTATCTATCAATCTATCTATCTAGCTATTTTTTTTTATTTATCTCTCTATTTATATTATATTATATTAATTTAAAAAATTGTAGCAGAAAAATATTTGGAAAGAATATAGAACATTGCAGTCACATGGTGAGTGTATGTGTGTCTTTATTATTATTATTATTATTATATTATATACATTGTAATATATATATTACATAATAAAAACTTTTACATGTGTAGGATGAAGAAGCAGAGAGACAAAAGAATGAAGAAACAGCATAAGAACAGCAATAAATTAGAAAATAAATAAAAAAAAAATAATAAAAAAAATTAGAAAATAAAAATAAAAAATAAAAAACAAAAAAAAATAAAAAATAAAAAACAATTAGAAAATAAATAATAAAAATAAATTAGAAAAAAAAAATTAGAAAATAAAAAATAAATTAGAAAATAAAAAATTAGAAAATAATAATAAAATTTTTTACAAAAAAAAACTCCCGACTGCTGCCAACAAAGTTTTAATGTTTAAATTAGAAAATAATGTTTAAATTAGAAAATAAATAAAAAAAAATAATAAAAAATTAGAAAATAAAAAATAAAAAATAAAAAACAATTAGAAATAAATAAAAAATAAAAAACAAAACAAAAATTAAAAATAATAAAAAAACAAAAAAATTATAAGTATAAAAAATAAGCTTGTAAAAGTTGGAAATAATCACACATAAATAAAGTCTGTTGTTTATATATAATTTTTCTTATTTAAATTTATTGTTATCATACATATTTAGCGCTATATAATTTACAAAAATTTCAGATTTTTGAATTCAAAAAATTTTTTTAATTATAATTATTATTATTAATTCTACAATTTACAAGAGCAGTCGGGAGACGCCGCGCTAAATTTGAGACATATACGCACGCGCACGTTTTATGTAATAAATAGACACAAACACAAATATCGATACTCAACGGACGTTACAGTTTTTAGACGCGCGGCGTCTCCCGACTGCTCTTGTAAATTGTAGAATTAATAATAATAATTATAATTAAAAAAATTTTTTGAATTCAAAAATCTGAAATTTTTGTAAATTATATAGCGCTAAATATGTATGATAACAATAAATTTAAATAAGAAAAATTATATAATAAACAACAGACTTTATTTATGTGTGATTATTTCCAACTTTTACAAGCTTATTTTTTATACTTATAATTTTTTGTTTTTTATTATTTTTAATTTTTGTTTTGTTTTTTATTTTTTTATTTATTTCTAATTGTTTTTTATTTTTTATTTTATCGTCTAAAAATTTTATACATCTAAAACAAAATTTTGAAAATAATTTGTTAAAATATAAAAATTTATAGAACATAAAGTTTATTGTTTGAAGCAAATTTACATTAATAAACACAAGATCCATCACGTTTACATACATAAAAACTTGTTTTTATTCAAAATAAAAAACAGACAGTAAGACTAAGAAAGATCGAGCAGCGGAGACAAAGATATGAAGAGAGAATAAGAAAGGAGAGAGAGAGAGAGAGAGAGAGAGAGAGAGAGAGAGAGAGAGAGAGAGAGAGCATAATAAACATTATTATTATTTTTCTTTAGAGGTCTGTGTTATTTCTTCTCTTAAATTGTGTATTATAAACTCCAAACGAACAATCGTCGAGAATAAACACACATAAAATCAATTTTAATTTATATAAATTATAAATTATAATTCAGTTAATTTTAAATTATATAAATTTTAAACGTGATAATGAATATTATATACATATATACAAGGTGAGGATTTTTCAACAGCGAAAATGTAGTACCAACAAATTTCGAGTTATAAGCGATCAAAAATAAATGATTTTTGGCAAACTAAGCCTTGTGGAAATAAAATATTAACAAATCACATTTGTCAATTAATTTTACTTAATTAACTTTACTTTTAATTTATTTGATTAATATAATTCTACTTATTTTTGAGTGCTGTTTTTATATTTATTTTGTATTTAACAAAATTAATTTTTTTCAAATTTTTTATAATATATCATCCTTATAAGGGGATATATCGAATATAAATTGAAAACAATTGTTCTATTTTTTATTTTACTTGATTATATATTTAATCTTTAACAGCAAAAGTTAATATTTGATTTTCCTTGTTAAAGTTATTTTAGTCAATACCACAACTTAAAAATCATTTTAAGTATTAAAATACACACAGATATTTTTTTATACACCATAAAAAGTACGACAAAGTTTAGAAAACAGAATTTTTATAATCTATTAATGAAAGAACAATTAAAGGTGTCTATTATAATAATTAGTATCTGTTATGTAAATTGTAGTATTTGTAAGTTTCAGAAATAGTTTATATTCGATATCAAACTTTTGATGGTTCACGATTATTTCAACATTACAATTCGTAAAATATTATATTATCGATATTATTTGAAATTATCGCAGAACTAAAATTTAAAAATAATTTTGAATAAAAGTATTCTCTTTATATCGTAAATATCCGTTGGTAATTCTATAAATATCCTTTATACTGTATGATTAAATATTATTGTATTTGTGAACAAATATATATATTTTTATATTTTTAACTTATTCTGACTTACCTTATATTTCGGAACAGTATGTTAACTGCAAAAGTATATTGATAAAATTTATATTTTTTAACAATTAACTGCAACCAATTAATACTAGCAGCACGCAATGTTGGAAGAATATAATAGATTCACACACTTTATTAAAAGTATTGTATCTACCACGATATATTTCGAAAAACTGACATCAGTCGATTTTCTGTACGGTTCGAAAGACCACGAAATACTGAAATCAGTCGATTCTCTGTACGTGTCATCATGCTAAATATGATGTGTTAGGTCAACAAAACTTTGGAGGTCGTTATATATATATGTATATATACTATATACATTTATGTATATATAGGTATATATATTTGTGTGCGTGTAGCGGCATTTGTGTGTATCAGTTGTCTTAATTAAGCACATTCAAATTTTGCCTAATTAATCAAATAAATATGCATCATTTACAAATTCATATTATTTATTTCGAAAAACATTTTCACAAAAAATATGGTGTAATTTCTTGTGATATACTTATCTTTCGATAATTTCATTATAATAATTTTCTGCACAAAATATAGTTATATAATTCAATTAGTGTAAGTGTGTCATTATACATGTAAGATCGAAAAAAAATGTATTTTTAGGAATTTCTTTTTAAACTGAACGATCTTTTAAAATAAATGATTATTTATTCGAATGTATATATTTTGAAGATTCTATAATATTTTTTTATAACAAAATATTAAAAAACGAAATAGATATCAGAGCATTTATTTATAAATTTTTTTTGCACATTGCTTTAAATTGCAATTTTTTTAAATCGTTGGAGTGTTTTTCTTATATCAATCAATTTCTCCACATTATTTTGTGCAAAAATTTATTAAGCTAAAATAATATAACAAATACATTACAAGATGTTACATATTTTTGACAGAATAGAACATAAAACATTTAAAAATATGATGATAATTATAAAATTTCAAAAATGCCTCCATCTGAAATAAAACCATACTTACGACGCGACGCTCCTTTCAAATTCTATAAATATTATTTCAAGTATTTGTCGAAAGAGAAGCCTTGGTTCTGAAATAACAACAATACGTTATTTAAAATGGGACACTATATATTTTTTTGTTAAAAATAAATATTTATTTCTACATTTCTTTATGCACAATACTGTGCCTTTATATTGTACCTACGTCTGTATGTATAAGTAAATATTATAAAATCGTAAATATTATAATCGCTTACTTATTAATCGCGATATGTACTATTTTTTTGTTTTTTATATCAATTTTTTTCTTAAAATTTTAATACTTTAATTATTTATTCGTACATTGTACTAAATGAGCTAAACTAAAAATTTATAATTGGTAGAATTAGTATCTCCATAAGACATTAAAGAAAAAAAGTTAATATACAAAATATTTTTGAAGAGCTACGTTACTTTTTTTTAAATTGTGTATATACTAAATAAACAAATTGTAAGAATAAAGTCAAAATAAAATACAATTTGAATTTAAGCCGTGATTTTCAGAACTATCGCAATATGTCAAACCAGATGCGCCAACAATTGCTCTGCATATTTATATTAAGAATTTTTTTGAACCATTAAATTATTTTATATTTGATAATTAATAATTATTATATTGCCATCTTTCTCACACATAGCTGTATTTATATAAAAGGCCTAAAAATTTTCAACAATGTTTACTTTATTAAATCTCACTAATGACGCAATAAAATATTTATTGAATTTAAATAAATTATTTATCTCAATATTCCTTTATAACACAAAATCATTTATTTGAAATTAATAATATCGATTTGATGCAAAAAATATTTATTTGATGTAAGAAAATTCTCTTCAAAAAAGATAAATATTTATTTGTATCAAATGATTTATATAGCAGTATAGAAATAAAAATATTTTTTAATTTAATTATTTTTTCAATGCGTTGATACACTTTTATACTTGTCAATTTTATTCTTGGCAGTATGTGAAACATTTAATTGATTTTAATTGTGTTAGTAAGAATTAAATTAAATTATCATTTATTTTTATTTAAATGTCTGAGAAAATTAATAATGGATTCTTCAATCTTCTTTATAGTATTTTATTTAATGTCAGAATTACTTCAATTCTTGAATTATGTATATATATATACACAGAAAATTATACGCAAATATGTGCATATATTACATAGTAACTCTGTTTTCATATTTTAATTGATGAGCTGTAAAAAGATTTTAGATATGTTAATTGTTTTAAAAAAATATTAGTAATAAGCGCGAAATTATGTTGTACAATTTTAAAGTTATGTGATATAATTTTATAAATATTAATATTAAAATTAATAATTTATTTCAATAAATTTATTGAAATTAAAATGTGGAATATGCAAGAGCGAGGGGGCGGGGGGGGGGGGGGAGAGAAAGAGAGAGAGAGAGAGAGAGAGAGAGAAATTATGTTATTTGATTTACTGTAAATTAAAAAATGAAAATTAATCAATTTTATATAATAACATATTAATATTGAACATATATAGCACGTTAACGAATTATTAATTCTTATTGTTCTCTAAAAATATATTTTATGTATACATACATTTATTAATATTATAATGTATTAATTAAAAATTTAATATATATATAATATGAACTGAATATAATATAAAACACGTATATATATTATTACTATTTTATATACACACACATACACACATGCATAGGCATACATATATAATTTACATGTATATATAGTTTATATAATAAAAAATTTAATATTTTGTATATATATAAATATGTTGGCTATAAATGTTTATAATAATTATATGATAGAAAATAAATTACTAATTCAATATGTGTATGTGTGTTATATGTATTATAATGAATAGTAAAATTTATTATAATATTACATTACTTTCTTGTGACTACACAGGTAATAATATATATTACAACTACTTCAAGTAAGATCGCAAAAGAAAAATGTAAAACTTGATGCTTGCAGTCATAAAGTTTTGTAAAGACGGCGGCATCCAATAGTAAAACTTATAAATAAACAATAATTAAAGCAAAATAAATAGTATATACAATATAAAAAATTATTTATATGAAGTATATCCACGTATGCAAAGCTGCAATTTTTTTTACATGCACATATTCCAGACGAATAAACTTTCAAAATGCACTCTCTGTTCTTTGATTTGATGCTTGCGAATTAATGTTTTGCTTATGATTTTGTCATAATTCTGTATTATGAAATCCTAATATAGATCAACAAAAATTTGTACAATGAAATTAATATACTGTTTATATAATAAACAAAACAAATATAAAATTAATATTCAAAAATTAATAAGAGAGATAGAACAATATTTCTTTTTCTTTTGTTTTCCATAATAATATTTATGAAATTTACCTTTTCTTTTATCCCAACATATAAGTCTTTACTGTCCACCATAAATGTAACGTAATTGTTTAGAAACTAGAATGTATTATTTTTACCATTATTAATAGACAACGTTATTATTACATTATTTAAATTATTTAAACATTATATAATATTTATTAATATCGCATTATTATCACATTTTGTATACATACATAAATAAACATGTAAAATTTTTACCTCAGCTAGATTTTCGCGATATACATTATTAATCATAATAAGTAATGCTGCAATTACACCAACATGTCTAAAAACGGAAAAAACAAATGCATATATAAAACACATAATAAATTTTTATACAAAATATTTATAAAAATATGTCAAATTACTTTGGTTTTATGTTAAAAAAATCGTCTAATATGTACTGCAAGATATCTCCATTCTTCGCATGCTTCGTAATAATATGTAAGAAATTGGTAACAAGATATTGGATTTCTCGTTTTCTAATAGATTTTATTCTTAAATAATCTTTAATTATATCATTATCTTTAGGGCAAGTCAAGTATTCTAAAAATTTAGGGTCAAATTTTTCATATCCTATGTCATACACTAATTCCCAAGACTCTTTGTTGGTAGTTATCGTCAAACCGTTACAATATGTCCATTCCTTCCACCATGGCAAAAGTCTAAAACATAACAAAATTAAATTTTTTATTAAAGATTAGCATATGTATCTCTTGATCAAATCATTTGAACATTGTGGGCTATACCTACTAGAGAATTTGATTTAGGAAGGCTAAAAAAATATGTATAACAATATTTACTTGTGTTTTGTAGGATCTTGGAGATGTTGTTCTAATTTATTGTTGGCTTTTCTCTTACAAGTTATGCTATCGAGAAAACATGCCCATCTTGCAGCTTCTTGTCGTAAACATACTCTAAATTCGTCTGCATCATCAATTTCTTCATATTTGATTCTTTCAAGTACCGTGTATAATGCGTGCCTTATTCTAAACTAAAAATTGTTAATATATATTTATTTGTTTATATTATAAATGTATTTAAAAATTAATTATTATATTTTCTCATTATTTTCAATAGATTCTTAAAATTTTCTCTATGAAATAAACATACATACAAATTCACTTATAGACGCTAACGTTTATCTATACACGTACATATGCACGTGCAAATATATATATGTATTATATCTGTACGCAAAAATATGGTTTAATTTGTGCGAAATGTTTTATAATATTTAATAGATATTAAAGTTTCATAACTATATATTAATTATATTTTATTTTAAATAAGGTATAAAATATTACTTTTTGAAATATATAATTAAATTTTTCCATCTATAAATATATGTTTAATTTTTTTTTAATTACAACAAGTAATATTAATATAAAACCAATATAATTGCATTCATTGACAAAAATGTTAAGCACCCAGCTATATATCCAACAACAATGTTATATACCAATAATATTGGCAGTAATGAAAATCATAAACTTTTTGACAGTTCTTCGGGTGAGTGATTATTTGAACTGAATTTGTTTGCACATTTGTTTGCGACGTAATACTATGTAAAATTTTATTATTGCTGAATATATTTTTCTAAGTATTTAAATTATTTGTGATCAATGAGTGTATATGCAAATATTTAAATGTAATAAATTCATTGAAATTTATTAATATTTACAGTAATATTTCCATTCGATTCTCTCCATGGAAAAGTACCATACATGTATTCTAAAGCTTTAAACATAGGATACCATGCTATATAATCTTCTTCTCGTTGCAAATACTCTGTAAGATTCCAAAATATATGCGAATGGAGTTGGCCTGCTATCATTAAATGAAATGAATCATCGATAATTTGAGCACGATTAAGAACATGAATTTTCGTGTAATTATCAGATTTTAGGTAACTTGAAATTCTTCGCCAATTTTCATCATCATAGTTAACGCGATAATATCCTGTCGAACAGTAAATAAATTTTAACAATTTTTATTATTTTTAATAATTTTATAATTAATATACTAATTCTCAAACATTTGTGTTTAATATTTTTGTTTATATAAATTATAATTTGAAAACATATAAAAATTTAATAAAATGCAAATATGTATGTAAATGTGAATACATATCAAAAATTAATTATAAATTAAAAATGAAACTGTGCAAAATTTTCTTTAGCATAAAATAAAATGGATTCTAGTTGTGCATTAATAATAATTATTTTATGCTAACCAATACAATTTCTGTAACACGTAACAGTACAAAAAATGTATGTTACCTGCACTTATTATTATTAATTTTATAAATATATAATTATCCTTTTAATAATTTTTAATACTATTAGAATAAAATATTTGTAAAAAAACTATTACAGTTATATAATGAATATTTTAGATTTTTATAGGACAATAAAATAAATAAAAATATAAAATTATGTCAAGTATGTGTGTGTAAAATAAAGGCGAGAAATAATAGTCATAATAAGTCCATTTGTCGATATTTACCAACTTGTTGTATATTGAATATCATCCAACCATCCTCTTTAAATGGTAATGTTATTAAATACCCTGACACGGGTAGAAAATGATAAGTTAAATTGTCAAAATCGGGAAATGCTTCCGTAGTAAAAGTTAGAGGAATGCTGCGATTATCTACTGTGTCGATATATTTAATATTTATTTTCATTTGGCTCACAGAATCATTATAATATCGTACTACTTCAATGAGAGGACAATGCTGTTCCGCATTTTCCCAATTTCTTATTTCTGTTATGAATAGAGACGTACTTATATTTCTTCTTGGAGCAAAATCTGGCACAAAATCTGGCACAAAATCCGCGAAGCTTAAACGATGGAAGTGGCTAAATTCACAAAGTATGTAAAAATATAAAAATATGTTAAAATTTTTTGTCTGTATAATGTTAATATTATAAAAAATTTAATAAATACTAAGAAGCAAAATATGAATTGCGCACTTCTATTTATATATTTATATATATTATATCTATAATATATTCTGACAAGAAAGAAGATAATATAATTTTAAATCAAATTTATAAATTTTATTTAATTTTTTATGCATTATTAGCATTAATACAGATTATATTTCAGCAAAGTATTGACAGAGTACAAGATGATTAAAAGAAGAAATAAAACAAATAAGAAGTTAAAGACAAAACAAAAATAAGAAAAATAATATAAAGGAGATCGATTTTTAAGAAAAGAAAATAAAAATAGAGAAAGGAATGAAAAATAAATATAAGCGTTACATATTTAAAAACCTGTTAAATAAAATTAGAAAACAAATGTAGCACAGAATACAATTAAAAAAAAACAGATATAAGAATTATAGACGATATAAAAAGATAAAGGAAATAATAAAAAGAAAAAAATAATTTTATTTATTTTATTTAAATTGTTTTAAAAAATAACAAATTATGAAACGAAAATAAAACAACAATGGATACGTATATAAAAAAATGATAACGATAAAATAACAATTTTCTTCTACAGAAACTGTTTTCATAGGAAAAGTAATAAAATTAAAAATAATTTTAGTAGAAGATTTAGAAATATAGCGGAATTGTAACGCTAACAATAAGAAAAATAACACTATGAAATAATGTCAGGAAAAACAAAAAAAAATACAAGACATTATATAAAACTATTATTGTTATACGTTATTTAAGTTCTACAATTCTATTTTTTTTATATTATATTCTACTACCCTTTTCGGCCCGTGAAACAGGTATCAAATATTTTTTTATCTTTTATTATTAATTATTTTATTTTTTGCTGATGTTCCCACCGCTGACCCGCTATTAATAGTTCTCGTACATTTTTATACTTTCTTCAATTAATAAAATTTTTCTGTATACAACATTTTTCGTAAAATATTTTTGGTTTCCTTAATTATTTGTCTCTGATTGCTTAATTCATTAATTTTTATTCTGACACTATCCCTTTTTGTTGCTCTAGAGAATGCTACATATAGTTGACTATGGGCAAATACAGGTTGTGGCAAATAAATTCCAACTCTTTGTAAAGTACGTCTCGAAATTTTGGTACTAATTTCGAGAAAATCGGTCTACAAATTTGTTGGTGCATCGGTGAGTGAATAAGGTGATAAAAAGTTTTAAAAATCACATAATAGCCATCTCCCACAAAATTTTAGTACAAATTTCGAAAAAGTCGGTGCATAAATGTGTGAATGCGTGAGTGGATGCGTGGCTGGAAAGAAACTTGAAAAAACCACACAGTAGCTTTCTCTGAATAATTTGCAACATTTTGATACCAATTTTGCGAAAATTGATCCATAAACGCGCATGCGCGTGGGTAAATGCGTGGGTGGAGGTGTAACGTTTGAAAAAATTACATCGTCGCCAACTCCAAAAAATTTGCAACATTTTGGTATCAACAAACGAAGATTCAATAACGGCTTTGTAATATAAATATATATCTAAATCATAAGGAAGGCTTAAAGAACCATACGCGGATGTTTTCTACGTACAACAAAACTAAATTTTCGTTGGAAACAAAGCGTGAGCAAGACACGTATTATTCTCGGTGTACCAACCAAGACTTTTAAAAAATTGAAATAATCTCTTACTTGAGATTTAATTTCAAAAACCCCTAATCCCCCTGCGGAAATAAATCTTAGTTTGTTTGTACACACGCCGGCGAATAGGCGTTATAAGGTATATATAAGCAGAGAAAGGTATAGAATCGAAGGGTCTGAATAGCTCAGATGGAAGAGCAGTCTCGGCAAGCGAAAGATTCGAATCAGCGACTTTCGGATCTACATTTTTCTCTTGCATTTACTTAATCATTTCCGCAGGGGGGCTAAAGGTTTTTGAAATTAAATCTCAAGTAGGAGATTATTTTAAAAAGTCTTGGTTGGTACACCGAGAATAATATGTGTTTTGCGCACGCTTTGTTTCCAACGAAAATTTAGTTTCGTTGTAAATATACGTAAAAAACATCCGCGTATGGCTCTTTAAGCCTTCCTTATGATTTAGATTTTTATTTTGGTACCGATTTCAAAAAAATCGGTTCATAAATATGCGATTGTGTGGGTGGGTGCGTGGGTGAAAATCACTATCGTCACACTCCCCGGAAAATTTATGAAATTTTGATACCATTGGTGAAAATCAATCCACAAATGCGGAAGTAATACGCGTTCAGACACACAGACGGTACTTATACTATATAGATAGATTATATTACTCACTTATTGTTATATACATACCTGTTTATGAATGTCTCAAATATTTCTTCTGTGATGAAAGGTAGCAACATGCGCAGTATAAAAGGTGCTACAATTTACATTAAAATTATAAATTAGATATATTATAAATACATTCACCATAATGTGCGTGTGCATGTGCGTGTGCGGGGGCGCGCGTATAAGTGTACTTTTATCAAAATAATATTTAATTAAAATCCAGATAAAGGATTAATTATCTTCTAATTTTACACATATTTTAAAATATTAAGAGTTAAAAATTTACACGGACTATTTTATTATTGTATATTACGTATACCTCTGATAGAATTGGGAATTTCCAATAAACTGTTAGCTTGTGAAGTAGAATTCAACATATAATAATAACTATCCAAATTAAAAGAGTAATGTTGATTTTGAACAACAAATAAATTTATTATTCGATCATCTTCATAAATCTATAACAAAATAGTAAATATATAGATATAACCGTTCTGATTATACTAGCATTAAATGCAATACTAATATTATTATCGTTACCTCATTGTTAGAACAAAACACTTTCTCATTTTGAAAAACACACATATTAAAAAAATATAATAAAAAAATCAAAAATTTTGTATTAAAATAATAAGCAAACATTAAATAATTTTTAAATTATATTGTCTCATCAGATATTATATTGCAGACTGCTCTTTATCAAGTTTATTAAAATAAATATGATGTGTATTAGTTTTTGATTAATTTATCTTATTTGCATAAAATTT